TATTTAGTTCATTATTACAATTCAGAGGAGTATCTGTATGTAAGCATCATGTTTCTTCAATTCTAAGATATATATTTTAAAATCACATTTTAAAGTGATAATTGGAAAGTTGGTGTGTACATATAAAGTGCTAGTGATATATTCCTGCTTCTCCATACACCTTTCTCTAGCCCACAGCAGTTGAATACAGGCAAGTCAAAAGCAATGGTTTGTACAAGCCACAATGCATAGGCTATAAGTAATTTTTCTTTCATCAGCTTGAGATCATTTTAGAAGGCAGCTTCTATCCTACATTGCTACAGCAAATCCTTCTGTCTCACCAAACCAATTCTGCTCAGCCAACATTTAGTCATATTATAGTTTGTCTATTATTGAATAACCTGTGTGGGTCTCCTTACCTTTTTTATTCTATTTGTACATTAAAAATAATGTTGTTTAGTTATTTTTTTTGTTGTTGTTTTTACTTGACTGGCTCTTTAAAGATAAAAGGGGAGGAGGTCTTGGAGTTTACTTGCTACCACTTAAGAAAACTTCACAGTGGTCGAGGACTTAATTTCATCAGGAAACATTCTCAGCTTCAGTTAAAATGTAAAATGCTTTCTTTAACCCCAGGATAAAATAAAATTTCATTTGCTTTTACTTTTCTGTAATAATGCCAATAAGGAGATATTGCCAGGGGCACAAGGGAAGCCAATTCTATTGCTGAACAAATCGATGGAAAATCTACTTGCCAAATTCTGAACATACTCACTGAATGTGTATTAGGAACACACACACACACACACAACACACAACATACACACACACATCACACACAAACACACTCACACTCCCCCAACCCACTCCTGAACTATCCAGAATAAAGATGAGATTTCCTTAGAATAACTTAACGCCTTACTACTAACATTCTCACTCTCTCAAATGCCTCACACATAGATACTAACACAGGTTCATGTGAAGTTATGAACTGAAAACACGTATCATCTTGATTAACAGATAGCATTTATGGAGTGATAGCATTGAGAGAAGACTGTGAGTCTGACTCCATTCTAAGCACTTTAATCCTAGAGCTGGTGTCATTATTATCCCTACTTTTCAGATGAAGCACTGGAGGCACAGAGAGAATATGGACATTGACCAAGGTATCCTGACTAGTGAAGGAGAGTCTGGCTCTCAAAGAACCCTTTCTCTTTGCCTATACATTGTATTGCCWCTTGCTGCATATGCAAATCAAATATGGTTTGCTAGAAAATGCTAAACAAAACTCTAAGTGGTGATGAAAAAGATAATTCTGGTCAACATTTATTGAATCTTTACCTGTGAACTCAGGCACTGTGGTAGGCTCCCTACCCCCATGATCGTATTTAATGCTCCCAACCTAGGGGCTTAGATTTTATCATCCTTATTTTGTAGTCAGGAAGACTGAGGCTTAGAGGGCTCAAGGAATTTGCTCTAGGTCATAGAGCTAGCTATTGGCCAACCTGAGATTCAAAGATTCACTAGAGATGTCTAGGGCTTATTCCATTGCCTAACAATTCTTGCATGAACTCCCGATCCACTAAGAGAACTACTGTCTGTGTTCATAGCAATGCCATATCCAATATCAGTTTTATGACCACTAATAACCAGGAGGACATTTGCTACCTTCCCGTCTTAAAGCCGAGTCTGACCTAATTTTAAAACCTTTTAACATTCCTGGGTGAGACATGTACTTTGTGACTTAGAATGTAGCATTTCTGTTAAAATGAATAACTCTATTAAATAGTAGTGGCCTGCCTTTTGAATTAATGGTACATGAATGGGAAAAGTTAGAACTTATAGAAATGACAGTTTTACTTTCATATTTGCTCAAATTACTGGTTCTGGTGAACCAAAAAAAAAAAAATGGGAGCAGAAATAAAAACCCTTTGATATAGTGAGATTTCCCATCTGTCTAAGTTTATTGGGATACAGTTAACGGAGACACAGATTCCAAGATGGGGAAACAAACTGCTAGTTTGTGAGATTTCTTCCTATTGAGAGTGGAAGGCCAGGACCCTAAAGGAAGATTCTGGCATGTCTCCTTACGTGGGGTGGGCATCTGCCCATCTGAGGCAGTAGACGTGATACCACTTGTGCTGAGTGTCAGGGGCTAGCACAGGTTGCAGGAGGTATGACTGCTTCACATGACTTCCATTTGAATTTTAAGGGTGAGGTTGTGGCTTGGGTTGGTTATATCACTGGCCCAAGATCATAAGACCAGGAAGAGGCAATCCCAAGTAAGTCTGGATTCAAAGGCAGTGTTCTTACCTACTGGGCAATCCCATCTTTTGTTTCCAAGTAGCCAAAAGAATCTTAGCAGGTGGAGAGTGAAGATCAGGGCATTTTGGAATAGAATTATCCCACTTGATGCCTTCTCTACACACCTAACAGAAAAATGTGCTTTTCAAACATAGGTTTAGATTTTAATGCAAATTACAAAAGTTAAAAAAAGAAGAGAAACAAAGAGAGAGGAAAGAAAAAAATACAGTTGACCTCAAAAGCTCTAGTAAAATAGTCTCTAAATTTATAAGAGTTTTCTCTTTATACCTTTTCTTGGAAAATTCCTTGGAGACTTTTAAGAAATCGAAATGGTATAGTAATTCTAGTTTCCATGTTATTTTGAACAAGGCTAATTGTATTAACCTGGTTCTAATGTATTCTTACCTTTTGTATTACCCTAACACAAGCCACACACACACACACATACACACACACACACACACACACACACACACACATACAACATAAACCAAATAATCTTTGCTTGTATCATTTGGGTATAATTTGACTACAGGCTGTTTACCTCATCTTCAAAGGCTCAAACACGTATCTTTGTGCCAACAGATGCAGGGTATGCACCCTTTTCTGGGAAAATGACTGTGTTTATTCCCAAAGATTACAAAGATTAAGACAAAAAAAAATAGTGTTTCATGAATGTGGCCAAATCATCTGCTTGAGAGGTATTTTTTTTAATATTTATTTTTTAGTTCTTGGCGGACACAACATCTTTGTTGGTATGTGGTGCTTGAGAGGTATTTTAACTAAGATACCATAGGACACGTGTTAAAACACAGGCAAGATGTCATGAATGGGCATGATTAGTGTCTCTGTAAATGTAATCCTTTKTTTTCTACTTTGAGAGGTTTGTTTACTACATCAAATACCATAGCAGAGTTTCTAATTATCTCTTGGCTACCTTTGGGCTGGGAGCTATCCCTGGGCTCCGAGGCTAGCAAACATTGTAACTCTAGTCCCTGAGAATTTGTAACTGGCTAAATGATCAGCCATTAAATCTTCAGAAAAATAAACTCCTAAAAATTCCTTCTACATAATAAAGCATTTTACCCATCATAAATACTCAAGTGGTAGAATATGGTAGTGCATTTTACTTGAATGTTGGAACAGAAGAATCAGAGGGAAATACCCATCCAGGGAAGTGTTGTTCCTATCTTAAGCTCTTAAAATTTACATCTCAAGGGCCATGCACCTGGCAGGAGTGAAAGAGGGTGTTCTATTTCTGGGCACAGCTCTAGGAAGCATCTTCCAGGACCGAACTGATATGAATATGAGTTATAGATATTAAAACCAACTTTTCCTCCACCCCAGCAACCTCATCCCTCCAGAAATCTTAATAGGCTTTTGAGAGCCTCCATTTAGAGCTGGCTGCATAAAATGATCCTTTGATGAAAAGGGATTGGAACAAGGGTTAAAGCAGACATTGAAAGGTTACTGTAGAGGGCACAGTGTTCATACAACCCTCCTTTAATATGTGTGGTGTGCACCTGTGATAAGATGATTCATTACACGGGGCCTGTCTTTGACAAGCTCCATCGTTCAGCCCTCCGGGTTCTGACGGGACAATCCTGTACCCGCCCAGGAAATATAACAAGGTCAGCTTTTTCTTTCACTGGGACATAGATGAAGATGGTTTGGCTTATAATGCATCTTTGTTTACTCTTTATGTAAAATAAAAAACAGGGTTTAAGACATTGCAATTCCTGCTCTCCACATAGCAGGCCAAGCAGAGTACATAAACAGACTGCAGGATAAATAAATAACTCTGAGAGAGAAAATCTTTATGAGGATGAAAGCTCCCTGGGTTTCATGATTATAAGCAGCTACATTGGAGAAGCACATACCCTAACAGTGAAGCTGGGTTCTGGGTCAGGCTTTCCATTGGAAGATACTCCCAATATGGTCAGATTCCACTTGCTTGTATTTATGCACCTTTTAGGTTTTTTGGGTTATCTGAAGCTCTGGTGAACATGGGCACATAAGCCGTGGAAAGGAATGGACTTTTAAGATAGGAGGATATAACTGGCTCTGACAGACTAAAGAAAATCTACACCCAAGAAAGAGACCACCCAGCTGCTAGGAGAATCAACAAGAGGCCAGGGCCACAGGGCTGACTTGCAATTGGCATCTTTCTAACTCACCCTTTTGTCGCTTTTATAGGACTTCTTCCTTAGTTTCCCCTACACCCAGAAGTTGGCTTTACTGAGATTTGTTTAGAAATCTACAGCAATCAGGGAAGGAAACTTACCAGTTTCCTCTATTAGATCCAAGGTTTTTTTTTTTTTTTTTTTTTTTTTTTTTTTTTTTTTTTTTTTTTTTTTTTTTTTTAGTGCAAAATAAAAAAGCAAAACTGAAATTTTATTTTTAAATTTAACTTTTGTTTGTTTCAAAGAATGCCCCAGTAACGAGAGGTAAATTCTTCAACTAAGGTCATAACATGAGTCATTGTATAAAAATAAAAACAAAATAAAACTTTGACATCCTCGGGGAAGGAAAGAAAAATCTTGCTTCTAAAATATAGAAACACCTCCCAACCCTTCTCCTATTCTTGACATTCCTAGTAAACATTATTTATTTGCCTCAGATAGATGCAGTTACATATCACTGTCATGCAAAAGAAATTCATTTCCTTTCCGAGTTCAATCTGCCATAAAAATTCACTCTTGTTCCCATCTCCCACTCACCTGTCCTTGTGCATTAGTAACTAGTTGACCTGTGACCCCCTGAAGACTGGAGAGGGCATTGCCAAAGGCCTGTGAGCTTGCTATGGAGCCCATGGCTGCTGCAGCCGCTGCGGCCTGACTTGCTAGAGGATTATTAACCAGCTGCAAAGAGAGAAAAGATCAGGGTGAAAACCACCGAGAGGCACAGGCACAGCACACGGACATAACATTCACGTGGAGGGGGAGATAGTTCTCGACCCAATTCTTTCATGCAAAGGGCCCCAAACCCACTGGCGGGGCCTGGTAAAGAATCCCTTGGAAGCTCCAGGCTTGGGGAAGAACGGAAACAAGGCTGGAAGAAAACCTCCACCAACAGTGGGCTGCTTGGTGGAGTGTGGGCTTAAAGCTAGTCCCAGGGGGGATGAGTGTGAACCTGGAGGATAGAGAGATGATTTTGGAGGAGTCCCTGGATTTTGTCCTCTAGAGTAAATAAAACTCTCAGGAAATGATCTGCTTTTCTTGAGATAATCATGGGAGTAAAATAGGATGGGGTAGGGAGATTTGTGAATGATTTGTCACTTCCACAGGAGAATTGCAGTTTCTTTTAGAGTTGATGGTGAGGCAGATGTCCCAGATCATTTTCTTCTTTAAGGGGAGTCAGAGTTACTAGAGATGGAAATCTGTGTGCTCAGAGGACGAGTCCAGGGCTAGGACGTTTTGCGGGGCTCACTCTGACCATGGGATTCAAGGTCAAGGAGAAGGTCCTTTAGTGCACTGTCAGGTTGATCTTTACTTGCTGTGTTAGCTAATGCATGGACATCTTTTGGCCTCTTTACTGAGACAAGGGTGAAACAAAGAGGAAGAAAGAAAGTGGGGAGAGAGACCAGCTCAGGGAGGAGGTTATGGCTGCCAAAATCTGTTTTTTCCATGGAGACCAATTCAATATTCTTTATCCTGCCAATTTTCCACGCCACAGGTTTTCAGGCCTTCTGACCATGAGGCAGAAGTGTGGCTTGAACTGAAATCTGCATTTAGGTTAATGACTAGATATAAATTCAAGAAACATTTAAACTATTTTCACAGTATTGGTTTTGATACATGAATTTCATTTGTATTTATTCTAGGGTGTTATTTTTTTCCCCATATAGTTTCTCTCAAGTACAACAATTGTTGTGTATAATAATGCATTTTCCATCACCAGTTCCCACATCCATGAAATTCCTGCATTTTAGCAGAAACCTGCCAAGGCTAAAACTTGGTAGGAAAAAAAATTAATGCCATACTTAATTCAAGTTCTGGTTGCTCTTCTAAAAATGCTTTTCTTCTTCTTCCTCTTTTTTTTTTAAACTTTTTTTTCTTTAATTTCTTCATTCTCTGTCTCAGCCTCTCTTTTTTCTCTCCTTTCCCTCTTCTCTCAAAACATATTTTATGACTTAATTCCTTTGGAAATTTGCCTACACTTTTAATCATCTGATGAGGAAGAAAATACTAATTATCAGAAGAAATGAAAAGGAATCAGAATTTAATAATTATTTTTTCATTAATGTGATATCCTTATCTTTTTCGTTTCTTTATTTACTTACAACTGAGTTTTACATAACTAGTTCTAAAGTAATTCCATTGACCTTGCACATTGTCTCAGAAATGGAAATCCACTTTAAGCTCATTATTTTCATTATTTTGTCTTTTGCCTTTATCTCGATCCTAAAAATCAAGAACAATTTTATATAAATCTCATTTTTGAAGAGAAACCCTGTCTTATCCCAGATTGCCACCGTGGGATTTAAAATTTAGGTTGGGCTTTGTCTTGGTTTTCTGGCTGTGTTTATAGAGTGTCTACATAGTGAGTAATGGTATGTGCTGAGAGAAAACTTTGTGTTTAGTTCGACTACCGAAAGTGAGAAGAGTTCATATTATCGCTCTTACTTTTGTCCTGGTGTCAGGAGACTGCTTGGGGGACCTGCCACTGGCAGCACAGACACTGTTCATGGGTGCCCCATTCTCAGATCACTTGCCAAATACTGTGTTCACATTTCTTTTATGCAATCAAGTTGAAATCATAATGAAATTCTTGAGTTTCAGGGAGATCTCAGAATAAGCTTCTTAACTCAAAGAAAGATTAAATTATGTGCAATATGTTTTCGTGTTGAATAGGCCATTTTGTCCATGAATTTTGGATGAAAAAAATAAATTCCGTGCGTATAGAGTGCTCACAGAAGCCAAGCAGTTATCCCTATTTAACTTAGAGAAAATATTTTTAGTAATTGTAGGACATTTCTCTAATATCTAGGTCAATCAAAAGCTCATATAGGAAATTATGGAATAATACTCTCTGGATATAATACAATAGTAGAGATTGAGAATTCACCATGTTTAGAACATTACTTCAGCTATGGTCCCCTGTATTTGCTGAAAATCCAGGTATTGCATAAGGATTAAATAATCATTCTGAATATACAGCAAATTATGTATTTAAAAGTGTGCTTCTGAATCTTTGTGTTTGTGGGTTAGAAATGGGTACACTTGAAGTGCTCTGGAAAGTTGCTTCAGCAATCACAAATATACAGGGTTTGTTTATTTGTACTGTTGATTCCTCTATATCCTGGTCTTAGGTGGAAATCTAATTTGTTCTTTTTGTTATCTTTTTCTCTTTATGGAGCAAATGCCAACTYAGATGACTCTCTTACTTCCCATCTGATTTCCTGGTAGGTCTTTGTGAAAGGTATCTGGGATTTGGGGCAATGCCTTGCTGGCCCCTAACTCTAGAGTTAGAACTACAGACACAGAGTGTGGTGCATATAGATAGTGGACAGTGGATACAAGTCAGTTTGTAGCTGATAGCATTTCAGGTGAATCATGGGTGGTGTCGATGGATGCAGCTTCGTAAATACATTTTGGCTTTTCYGTCTGTGACTGCTGGGGCAGGGATGTAATGTGCATTAAGATAAGTGGCAGGGAGTGGGAGGGGGATAGTCAGGAAACCATAAGTGTTTTCCTCATCACCTCAGGTCATGTCACTCTGTATTGTCCCCAGTCATGTCATATTAGCAGTGTTCCTATCAATACTTATTCTTGATTGGAGACTCAGGGTAGATTTAGACAGCGGCAAACCCATGCACAATAAATGCACATAATGAGCATGTTAACGTTCCAGGGCCAACTGGATATTTTGAAGCTGCTGCCAGATTTATGCCTTCAGATCTTTCATTGCCAATGTACCTAACCAGCAAAGGATGGCCCAAATGAAGTCTGACTGTATTTTACAGTCACATTTTCAGCAGATCAACTCAAAAGACGTGCTGAATTCTGGTGCATGCTTGTTTATAAATGCAGAAGCTCTCAAAGCAAGGATTTGAAGAAGGCAAGAGTTCTTATGTTACATCCAAATGGATTCTGGGCTTGAATACATAAAACTACAATTCTGGAATCTGCAGCTAGTCTAAAAACCCACTCATAGAATCACTGATTTCTTGACATTTTCCCCTAGAATTTTACAGAATAGAATAACAACATAAAATTTTAAAATAGTTTTGTCACAATGAAGTAGAACTCCAAATGTTACCTTCCTCCTGCTCATCCATTAGTATAGCTCTGATGCAAGACAATCCTGTTTTGTGACTGTAAGTAAACCATGCCTCATTTTCTCATGAGTAAAATGGGTGTAAAAATAATACCACCCACAGGGTTATTATGAGAATTAAATAAATGAGGCCAATTTTGAGAACGAAATATTGGCATATATTATTTTCTTAATACATGTTAGCTAATATTCTTAGAGTTCATGCTGTGCATGAGAATTTTGAACTAATCAATTTATCATAATTAGGACTCACCCCCATAAATATCTTCTTACCTTGGTAATTACATGAACAAGAATAATTATTCTGTATTTTTATAGCAGTTCTATGTTACATTTTTTTAAAAAGGGCTGTTTGAAGGAAGTTGTTAGCCACCTAACATAAAGGGTAATTAGATGAGGTGAGTTTCATGGTTTAAAAGACAAATGCTGTTTTAAAGTATTTTAGAATGGAGGGTATTCAAAAACAGTATTTAAAACATGGCTCTCTTGTTTATTTTGGAGCTTTGCTATTTGATTGGACTTGCTCATTAGTAGGGAAAGCAATGTTATGATTTTGAGGCCAAGATTGGTAGTGACAGACCAGTACGAGAGAACATTGCCTTTTTAATAGTACATTATCCTCAACCTTAGTTTCCATTTCTAAAGTTACATAAGGACATTCATTTTGGAATTTAATTCCTGCTTCATGTCAAAATATTTTGAAATAGTCTCACAGTTGCTGATTTGATGGTGATAGCATTAAAAACAAGATTTACTAAAAAATAATACCCTTAAGATTTGTAATGAATTACTTCTCTGTTCCCTACTCATGTGGATACTGGGTGCTTACCTCAGATTGAGAGTAAGCCCATATTTCCAAATCTATATGCTTTGTGCATCTCTTTATCCCTGTACATATTGCATGGTGATGAGGAAAAAAGAACTTTTAATAAAGTCTCCCCAGGACTCTTTGATGACATCATATGTATGACAATGTAAAGATGTCCCCATAAATGCCATCACAACCAGGTGGAGGAGTGTTCTTCTACAGGTCTTGCCTTATCCTCTTTCTCTGAAAGACTCACATCCTGCATCCTGGCAAAAAAACTTGTTTTTTTGAATCTGAACATTAGTATTCATAATATTTTTCATGAAAATATGCTGATCATATTATTTTATTATTATGAATCTCATTTACAAAAATATGACAATACAATGAGACAATTTGGCTGTGATGTTATATTCCTATGTTTATGCCTTTATTCTGGGAGGGCCTTATGAATGCATCAGGCTCACAATCTTTCTTTGGAGCATAATTGCCCATGATCTATGGTTCTATCATTCTCTTCATGAACTATGTGGATTTTATAGAGTATGGATTTTTGAGCAGTTCTTTTTGCTACTAACTTTTCAATTTAGAACTCTGGAACTGTGGTGCCATTTGTTTTTAAATGAGGGTATTCACAAATGCATTTATCACAACTTATTCTTCATGTAAGGTCCAAAATGACTCACAGTGGCTACCTAGAACAAATGGGACAATTTGAATTTATTTGCATATATAAGACCTTGACTTTTCCTCTACCCATGTGTGTGATAAAAC